CGATTAAAAGAGATAATATAGATAAGGTGGAAGCAATGAAGAAAATGAAACTTTATCTTACTAAGGTTATAAAATCTAAGAAAAATTATGATATGAAATTAATGAAGAGAAAATTAGCTTTTAATTTTGAGATTGGAGATGAGAAGTTGAAGAATGATGTAAAAATATTAAAAAAAATAGAAGATTTTCTTCGTGGAATTGAAGAAGAAAAAAAATCTATTGAGAATGAATTAATGGAAAAAAAGGATTCTTTTCTTTTAGATATTAACGGAAATGAGATACTCACTGAGATGAAAATATCAACGCAAGAAGAAACATTTCTTTCTGAGGTTAAAGATGTTGAAAATAAAATGGAATTAATGGATAGACAGATAAATTTTTTTCTTGAAATTAGGAGAGAGGTGATAAAGAATGACGAGATATTAACACAAAAGATTGAACATTTTCTTTCTGAGTTTAAAAGTGATATGGAAAAGAATGAGAGAATAATAAGTAGAAAAATGGATGTTTTTCTTTCGAGGTTAAGGAAAACGAGGAAAAGGATGAGAATGAAGATGAGTGGAGTAAATGGGTCAGCGTATCGTAAGAGATATTATCGAATTTAAAGGATATCAGAGAAAAAGTGGGAAAATAAGAGAGGAAGGTAGAGAGAATGAAAGAGATAACAAGAAAAAGAAAAGAAAGAAATAACAATTAAATGCGCTTACGAGAAGATCAACAATGGCTAAATGCATTAGCATAATGTATATCCTTGATTTTGATGATCTACGACAACACATGATAAGAAGTAATACGCCGATATTTTCAATTGCTGAAATTCCCATCAAAATGCTATAGTTAATAATCATAGAAATACTACACATAGAGCAAACAAGCCAGCATAAAACCTATATATATATATATAAGCGAAATATAAAGAGATAGAAGATAGGAGGAGGTTGATGTTGTCTCTCTCTAACTTGCGAATCTTTTGTCCTTTTTTGCGTTATATATATATTGATATATATATATATATGTTACCGCATGAATTAGAGAGAAACAACATCAACCTTTCGTTTTTTGCTGCTATATTCATGCAGAGACATTACCACTTACACAACAACCGCCTATGGTTTGTTTCCTCTATCTGTAATATCTCTATGGTAATGATGCTGTGATCATACGACCCTCGTTGAACTTCATGACTATCGTTAATTCTAATTCTTCAGTCGAATTCATTCTTGAATCCAACCTTTCTGAACTGATCACATTTATTTTTTTTTTATCTGTACTTTTTACAAATTTAACAAGAATTATTGAATTATTTTTAATCTAACGTGGAATAATAAAATAAACAGGTTAATCGATGTATGAATACTTTCTGCACCCACTATATTAGGTCCATATCATATTTTTAAGTTAAGTTTATATATTAGGTCTACCAGAAAGTTCTATATTTTTGTAGAATAAAATAAAAAAATAATCAATTTTTCATACTATGACTCAAATTTATTTAATAATATCCCATTATTATGTTTATTATTATTAATATATTATTTGTTATATTATTTATTTAATGAAATCCCATTATTTTCGACTCCTTGCCAACCTGATAGACAATTTGTATATCCCATTTTTTACAAATACCTTATACGTAGAGATCCCGGAGGATAGATACCAGGAGTCCGAACGTAATGTTGAAAGAACTGTATCAATTTAGGGGACAAGATATTTTGCTGGTAGGACGCGCTGCTTTTCACAAAGTACTCGTTTAAATACTTGTGCGGAAAGTCTTGTTGCTATTGATAGCTCTGAAAAAAAAATATTTTAAGAAACGTGGAATTAATATTATTTAAAAACTACACAAATGTAATAATCAATTATTTGTTAACATAAAATTTTTAATATTATTTTGAGGTTACTCACTTTTGATGCTTTGAATAAAGCCACTTTTTCTAAATTCTCACTTGCCTTTCGGCCACTAAGGCAACCATAAACGGCACAACACTTTCCCTATTTTTTAATAAAAATAATTCTAAAAAAATTAATTAATATTTTATATTTAATTTAATTTATTTTTATATTCACGAGCCAGGTTTCGGTACGTTCTGAATACTTGCGCAGCCAGTGGCAAAAAAGAGAACTATGATCTGGGTCAAGAAATGACTACCACAAAAAATGTGAAAAATCCTATACCGTTCGGACTCCTGGTATCTATCCTCCGTTGTTTTTTTAATAGAACACAATTTTGTATATATTTTATTGAAGTGAAAACTTCTTTAGAATAGGGAGTGATTTGAAAAGAAATGGATGGCGAGGCAACGGAGCCTAATACGGATAGGCAACGGAGCGACGGGCCGCTATGCAAGAGCCACGATTTTTATTGCTTGAATTTAGAAAAGTGTACTTTTTATCAGCTATTCCACCCAGAGACCATACCGGTGACCTTTATTATATATGGCAATAATATTATAATAAATAAATCCTACAATTATCTTACTCTTGAAACTGTGCATTCGTCTCATTCTCTCGAAACTTAGATTTTTGAAGGTTTCACTTCTAACACGTGTGATATGCACACATGTTTTTTTTTTATCTATCTATCTTCATCCCTCTCACTCTCTTATTTTTTACTTATATATTATTTTACATGATAATGATTATTATTATTATTTCTTTGTATTCTTTTTGAAGCCATACAAACTAACATATACAAAACATGACACTAAATCATATATTTTCGTTGTTTTTAGCATTACCATTGGGACAATATGTTAAAAGATTGCCTAACAGCTTTATTTGCAACCCCCCTGTTTTTTTTTTCTCTTGACTATACCGTATACATCCATATATACATACTCGTTCACTCGAAAGTACGCAGTTAGGATGTTAAGGACGTGTCGTAAACGGGGACCTCTTTGTCTTTAGAAAAACGAAAGCAAAAAAAGAGAATTGAAGAGAAAGAAAGAAATGACAGAAATAAAGAAATAAATAAGCATGCATATATATTTATTTGTACACCATATACATTTCGTGTTCTACGCTCAAGCATGCCGTGAATTATGACTTTTCGCGACTAACAAACGCTTCCTCTCGTTCAACCATTGCGTAGGAAGATTTCTTTTTTCTCTCTCTCTTTCTCTCTTTCTCTTTCTCTCTTTTTCTTACATATACATTTGTAATTATTATCTGTAAACGAATCTTTATTTTGTTATTTGTTTGTATTTTATATAAAGACAAAACAATCAAAATAACTCAATTTGTTATATTATCATCATTATCTTCATCATCATTATCTTCATCATCATCATCATCATCATCGTTGTCATCATGATTATCATTGAATGGAATTAAAATCTTCTAATTTGTTTCTATTTGAAGCTCAATAAACTTTGTATTGATACCCCTTACAATTAGATTCGAATTTGAAAGTGGTTGACGTCTGTCATGGCAACAAATCGTAAATGTTAATCGAGTTTGACTTATACAAAAGAAAGAAAGAAAGAAAGAAAGAAAGAAAGACAGAGAGAGAGAGAGAAGGAAATAAGTTGCGTAGGTGTCAGTTATGATGATGAAAAGAGAAGGAAAAAGGGAAAGAAGAAAAGATTGAACAGGACGGAATGAAGGCACGATATAACTCTCATTCAACATGGCAAACGAGTTGAAGGTGTTCTCTCACATTGAAAGAAAGAAAGAAAGAAAGAAAGAGAGAAAGAGAGAGACAGAAAGAGTAATTAATCGTACACAAGTGCGAAATATCTTATGTGGAAATTAAAATGTGCTAACTCTCTTTTAAACGTGGGCGTTTATAACGATCGTGTTTTCTCACACTATTATTATTATTAATAATAATAATAATGATAATAATAATAATAATATTATTATTATTATTATTACATGTATCTCTCATCAATTTTTCATTTTAATTAATACCAAGAAAAATAAATAATATATTTTTATTGTATTTTGTATTGAATACTATATTAACAGTAGATATACCAGACAAGTCATTTTGACTAATTTTGACGCCATTTTAATTCCAAATTTCTACTTCATGTAACATCTGAGTTCTGTAAATAATTAAACGTTTTGTTATTTAACAAATATCTATTAAAATTATTATTGTTTAACATTTTTTTGTTATTTTTTAAGAGTAAATAAAGACTGAAAGTCTCAAATAGTAGCCTAGAAGTCTCAAATTTTTTGTATACACCAGTCATTTGGACTAGTATAATAGAAAATGATGGTATATCTAGTGTTAATAATTGTTTACATTGAATAGACAAAAAAAAGATATGAAGTAATATCAAAATAAAAAGATATATAGATTTTATTTAGAATTTTGTTGAATCTAAAAAAACATTCAATTAATAAATCAACTTTGTGTAGGATAGAATATGTTATATATTTATGTTATGTATATATGAGTAGATATTATTTAAATATATATTTATTTAATTCATTATATCGATGAGTTATATTTATTATATTATAATAATTATTATTATTATGATTATATTAATGAACATTCAATTAATAAATGAACTTAGTATGGGATAGAATATGTTGTATATTTATGTTATATATATATATATATATATAAGTATACCTTACTATACTACTTACTATACTGTAAATATACCTTATATATATAAATAATTAGATATTATTTAAATATATAAATACTGTATAAACAAATATATATATAGATGTTATCTATAACTCTATTAAATCTAATGAAAGAACATTGAATTATTAGATGAACGTAGTATAGAATATTATTGTATACCTATATATATATATAGGTTACATATTATATATTTAAATATATAAATACTGTATAATCAAAGATATATAGATTTTATCTATAACTTTGTTGAATCTAACAAGAAAATATTGAATTATTAGATGAATGTAGTATAGAATATTATAGTATACCTATATATATATGTATATGATTAGTTATTATTTGAATGTATATTTATATATATTGTAATATATCATAATTGTGTCTATTCCAGGAAGCAGAGAAGCAGCTTTCACGTACGCGATAAGCTCGGCTGGAGTTACATATGCTGTAACCGCAGCTTGCAGTCGCGGTAATATCACTGCTTGCGGTTGCGAACCGGCTATAAGGTAAACCCAACGACTTGGCAGGATCTTGTGCTTGTCGTCCCTTGCGAACATATTAACGAGATTACTTACCCGTGTTACTTCTTTTTTACTATCTCTTTTTCATTCAATTCATTCTTTATTTATTTATTTCTTTTTTTGTTTTTTTTTTTATTTCTTTATCCACATCTATAGTTTCATATTATATATATATGTATATATATATAGCTTTGACTTAAAATGAAAATAAAAGGAGTATATATAATTAGTGTCCTTTCATTTAGCAGGACGAGAAAGGAATTAGCTCCGAATGGTTGGGAATGGGGTGGTTGCAGTGCAGACATCACTTATGGAATGAGGTAGGCGGATTAATTAAAATCATTTTACGTTTCATTATGATATCTGTTTATTCCATATTTTATTCATGCATGTATGCACACGTATATGTATATATTAAGTCTATTTATAAACAATGTTTATAATCCTTTCGTTTAATTCGTATTTCATTAATCATTATTCATTTTAAACTTTTTATCATTTCTTTTTTTTTATTTCCTGTCTGTAATTTGTATAACGAAATTAATTGTTACATTTAAAATGTTAATGGAATATGATTAATTATTATTTTTTTTTTTTTTCATATATATATATATTTTTTTTTTTCAATTGATATCAAAATATTGTATCATTTTTTTTTTTGAATGATAAAATTTCTAAAAAAAGAAACGTTTATAAAATTAATGAAATATAATGACACAGGTTCGCACGTAGGTTCCTGGATGCAAGAGAAATAGAAGGAGATGCTAGAAGTCTGATGAATCTTCATAATAATAAAGCTGGAAGAAAAGTTAGTGACATTATAAATTAGAAATACTAATAAATAAAATATAGAATAAGATAATAATTAACTTTCTCTAGAAAAATATCAAAACACAACAAGATTTGTATCGTTTATACAACARTTGTTATAAAATCAATAATTTCAAATACTTGTTGGATCACTAATCATAGATTTTKTTTTAACCGTATGATAAATTAATAATTAAAAATCTCTCATATGAATATTATAATATTGAATATAAAGTGTGTAACACATAAAATATCATATCATTAAGTTATTTTTTGGGGGAAAGTTACTTTCATATTTCAACCTGTATATATATATATATATATATATATAAATTTTAATCATTGACAAAGATCAACGAGAAAACGTAGGTTTGATAATGAACTCGTCGTCTCGTTTGAAAGGATTAACGATAATGATGCATCTCGATCGATGGAAGATTTACAATTGCTTGACAAGATAATAATCTTAGTAATGAGCTGTACGTTTATTTACGTCCTTATTTTAACACGATCTACGAACACTTATAGTTCTTGATTTATCGAGCAATAACTTGTATGAAACGGTCAATCATCGAGAAAATTTCACGTATATATATATATATATATATATATATATATACATGATATTTACATTTACACATTTACATTTACATATTTACTCTCATATCTAATGTATATTATACATATGTATACTGATAATTATGACAGCGAATCAAGTAAACAAAAACTAATATTGATATTAAAATAATCTAGAAACATATTATAAAATAAATCATGAAATAAATTTGTTTTTCATTTTTTTTTCTTTTTTTTGACTTATGTTTATCACCTGTTATCATAATTATCATCAAATACATATGTAATTATAGATTAAATATATAGTATTGATATATCTAAATAAAAATGATCTTAATTTAAAGTTAAATTAAATAACAACAACAATTACAATAAACTATTGTAATAAAACGAGTAAGTTTTGAAAACGTGTTGAAGATAATATTACGCGCGATTATTGTTAATACAATAATATCAATTGTTTTATAAAGTTTATGTGATATATTATTAAATGTCGAAATTATTCTACATTTAAAAATAATACGTATTTTTTTTTTTTCATTTTTCAGATTTTATACAGCATTAATTGTTTTCGTAATTGTTTTTTTCTTCTTTTTAACTTTTATCTTCGAACACCGCTGTTAACACGAGATATACCACCATTTTCTACCACACTAGTCAAAATGACTGGTGTATAACAAAAAATCGCTTTTTGAAGCTTCCAGTCTTTATTTACTCGTAAAAAATAACAAAAAATGCTTAACAATAATAATTTTAATAGATATTTGTTAAATAACAAAACGTTTAATTATTTACATAACTCAAATGTTACATGAAGTTAGAAATTTTGAATTAAAATGGCGTGAAAATTAGTCAAAATGACTGGTCTGGTATATCTAGTGTAAAGAATAATTTTGCGGAAAAAAAAAAAGAAGGATTCTCTTAATATTTATATCCAATTTAAAAAAAGTAATAAAAACAATAATAATAATAATAATAATATTAATATTTTGTTAATATTTTAGATCGTGAAATCTCTTCTTCAGACAGAATGCAAATGTCATGGAGTATCGGGTTCCTGTACGGTGAAAACATGTTGGAGAACATTACCTAGTTTTCGACAAATCGGTGATGCACTTATGAAAAAATATTATAAAGCTAAAGCTGTCGTTGCTATAATACCTCCATCACCACCAATAAGCCAAGTAATTATCAAACACATTCCACATCTTAATTTCAATAAAAAAAAAAAAAAAAATGAATGATCGTAAACAATTATTTGACAGATTTCTGAAAGTATATCGCATCATTCGGTATCAACTGAAGATATAACACCTATTCTTGGTAACGATGCTAAAACTCAAGGTAAACAAAACGATTTTATAAAATCACGTCGGGATCAACAACAATTATCTAAAAAAACAAAGAGAAGAGCCTATTTGGTATTGAAAAGGAATAAAGTTAATAATGGAGGAGGAAGTACAACGGTGTCTAAAAAGATGCCGAAGAAAAGTGAATTGGTATTTCTACAACCGTCACCAAATTATTGCGAACCTGATTTGGTTTTGGGTAGTTTGGGTACGCAAGGGAGATATTGTAATCGAACGAGTAAAGGTAAATTAAAAATAAAGATTATTTTTTTGTTTATGAAATAAATATATAATAATAATAATAATAATAATGTATTGTTTTCTTTTAGGAACCGATGGATGTGATTTGATGTGTTGTGGTCGTGGTTATAACACACATCAATTTACTAGAACTTGGCAGTGTAGATGTAAATTTCATTGGTGCTGTCATGTATATTGTGACACGTGTAACGAACGCATGGAGGAATATACTTGCAAATGATGTAAATATATATATATATATCTATATATACATATATTTATTTTTGTTTATTTCACGTAAAGTGTCTATTAACCCTTTCGCTTCGGCTGTCCTGTCCACCAAAACACTGTCACTGAACGGAGGCGCGCGCCGCGAATACGTCCAGTATGCGTTGTTGCTGTATATATGTTTTCCTGAGTCTTAAATTACTATTGTGCCGAATAAAACAATCTTTGCTAAAATATAATGAGTATAATTTACATTTTTCGATATGAAAACATTTATAACTTATAAACATATATAATTTACAAAGCTACAGGTAATATTTTTATTATGTGCACGCCGCTTATAAGCGGCGCTCCTACCCACAGGTAGGTCATATTGCGTACGCCGCTTATAAACGGCGCTCGAAGCGAAAGGGTTAAGAAGAAGAAAAATATTCAACGATTATCTCGACTGATCTCGGATGATATTATTTTTATATTATTCGTTCCGGCTTTAATCACTGCTAAACTATTACACGATATAATTAGCTTAATCCTCGCTAAAATACAAATTAACAACAACAACAACAAATTATACAAGTGAGATTTACGTGTTTAAGTAGGATAAGAAGTTAATATAGAAAAAAAAAACAAAAAACAAAAAAAGGTAATTTAAACAAAATTTACTAAAAGATTTATAATGATAAAGTATCATAACGATTTATTGCACTATAATTGAGCTTAATAATATTATTTCAAATGTGTTATCATATATTATTAAAAATGACAACTATAGACACCTTTCTCTCTTTCTATCTTTGTCTTATTTTTAAATGCATTACATAAATTATTATTTATTTTTTATCATAGGTAGAATATATATATATATATATATAAATATACATATATAGATAATTAAATGTATTTTTAAAATAAACATTATTTAGTAATCCAAATTTGGATTTACGTAATGATGATTAACGTATTAAACAAAATTTCTATCTATTTTTGTGATAGATCATTAGACAACAAGAACAAATAAATAATAGTAAATTCATGTATCAAATTTATTCATTATAAATATTTTTCTAATGTTTTTCACTCGTTCAGTATTATAAAAATGCAAAAAGTTTATAAAAATATAATAAAACACTTTTTATACTATTTTGTATACATGAGTTTACAAGAAATTTCATAGAAAATTCATATAAAAAAAAAAATATATATATATATATGAAACATTGTCAATATTGTAGCAAATCTAACTTATGTGTTTGATTATTTAGCACACACACACACACACACATATAAACTTTAAATTATATATAAAAATAATAATCATAAATTGTGAAATTTGATAATAAATTGTAAATGAGTATATTACTTTTTGTTCATATATTATATATACTCGAAATATAATAAAATATTAAGTTTTAGCTTGACTAAATATTTATCAGCTATAAATAAATATTTTTTATATTGTGCGTACGTAAACAAAGAATTATTATACAACCCTTAATTTATACGATCCCCCCTCTTGGTCTCTTTGTAATTACAAAATACAAATAAAATTACTTAAACAAAAAATAAAAAATAAAAAATAAACAGTACGTCGAAGAACTTTATAAAGCGTTGAGTATTTCTTGAGCTTCTTTTTTAGATTGAACATCCTCGTGATCTGTGGTTGGATATTCCGTAGTCAATTTTAAATATTTTAAAGCATCTTCTTTTCTACCTAATTTTAAATAAGTTTTTGCTAACATAAGTAAATTGAGACTGTAAAAATTAGGACTTGTTTCTTCAGCCTTTTCAAAATACGTTAATGCCTCTTCGAAGGATGAACTAGGAGGTTCTCCAAATGCCAAGGATGCAATTTTTCTTTGATACCATGCTAAATCGGATACATGATAACACCAATTGCCGAGCATGTACAAAGTGGTAGCATCCTTTGGATTTAATTCTATTGCTCTCTATGACAAAAAAAAAAAATAAGAATGACATTGCGATGATATAAAAATAAAAAGAAAAAACTCGATACCTATATATAAATATAAAATTAATCAAATATAAATATATCGTACAAGCATATGTTTCTTAACGTTGTATAATTGTTGTATCCTTGATTTCATCCCTTCCAAAGAGCTTTTACTATCGAGTAATATTGACATCCACTTTTGTACAGCATAATGATCCTCTTTGATACTAATTGCAGTTTGTATATACTCGTAAGCTTCTAAAATCATTTTTTTGGCTTCCGATTCATTAGCCGTTTTTGACAAATTGTACAAAACCCTACTCAAACGCCACAATATCTCTACATCTTCTTTATGCTAGGTATATCAAAATAAATAAATAATATCTTTTATGAAATGTATCCTATAAGAACGCTTGATATTACACATCATGTAATTCCGTTATACCTTGTAACTCGACAAATGATCATACAATTGTTTGTACGAGCCTTGCTCGAACAAAACATCAGCTGTTACAATAAACCCTTCCTTAGCAGTAATTTCCTTTACATGATTGTTATTATTATTTTTATTATTTTCACTTTTATCTTTATCTTTTTCATCGGCAGATTGAAAAATCCAAAGCCCCATAGCAGCAGGTGCTACATAAACCAATTTATTAAAGTTACGTTTTTCTCTCTGTTAATAAAAAATACAAAAAGAAAGTCAGAAATTTGAATAACAAATGATTGTTATTTTATCGTAAAAGAAAAAGAAATGAATAATTTGATTACCCTTTGTACTCCTATTAATGCAACTTTATACGTATCAAATCTTTGACATATGTTGATTGAGGTTAAGAAACGAAAAACTTTCCACGACATTGTTATATATTAATTAATTTAAATTCACATCAAAATTATTAAATCACATAAAATATATTCTTTACTTAACTTTATATATATATATATAAATATAGATACTTATATTTATATATTATATTTAAGAAAAGAAATATCTTCTATCTATATAATAGATAAAAACAAATAAACTATTTCAAGAAAAAATCACATTAAATTCCTATTTGATTTTTATTGAAAATGAAAATAATTTAATTTATACACAGTCAAAGAAAATATTAACAATAAATAAACACTAACACCAATATGAACACTTATAAGCAATTTATGAATTAAAAAATAATAACATACCAATGATTGATAATGCAGATTTCTAATATTGATGATACTCATCCAGAGCTGCCAACCACTGTTATCATTCACTGTCACTAACCTTTCCATGCAAAAATCGATCTATTCAATAATATCGATTGTATCGATAACTCGATTCGTTTGTAACTAAACACTAAACATGAGTTCACACCAATATGGGAGGGGTGTAACCAAACAAGCTTATAAGCCAATGCTATGCAACGCTATACGTACGCTTTTAGTTCATATTTTGTCCACTCACGTCGCTGCAGTTTTATTGCATAGTTCGTGTGAAAAGTTGTAAACAACGTTAAGGAAATATATTTAATTATAATAAACAATAAAATATATACTTATTAAATAAATAAATATATAAAATTTTTGATTAATATAATTTGTACTAATTGAACTATATAATGGAAACGATATTGGAACAACAACGACGTTACCATGAAGAAAGAGAACGACTGATGGACGCTATGGTAAAAGAAATGCTTTTTAAAAAACCAGGCCATCGTGAAAATATTAATTCTGAGCATAGGTTAAAAATGTTATTGGATCAATTTATGGATAGTACCGCTAATTTACAAGATTTATACGAAGATAAAGATGGTCAAAGAAAAGAAGAGGTAAGAGGTTATGTGTTTAAAAAAAGTATCCCGTATGTTTGTCTATATATATCTTATACATTTTGATAATCATTTATTTGTTAAATATAATTTGAATACAATTTTTCAGGTACAAGCATTGTCAGGTCCAAACGAATTTTCTGAATTTTATTCTCGGTTGAAATCAATCAAAGAATTCTATCGTAGACATCCAAATGAAATTAGTGTACCAATGTCAGTCGAATTTGAGGAATTAGCGAAAATGAGGGAAAATCCTACAGAAGAATTGTCGAACCTAGTTGAATTCACCGACGAGGAAGGTTACGGAAAGTATTTGGATCTTCACGAATGCTATGAAAAGTATATTAATCTTAAGGGTATAGAAAAGGTTGATTATATTTCTTATTTGTCTACGTTCGACCATTTATTCGATATTCCAAGAGAAAGAAAAAATGCTGAATACACCAGATACGTTGAAGCCCTTTTATCGTATTTGGTTGATTATTTGAGTAGAGTTAGACCATTGTTAGATATAAATGCAGAAATTGAAGAAGCTAATAAGGAGTTTGAAACGCAATGGGAAAATAATTCATTTCCTGGATGGCCTAAGGAAACTGGAAGTGCATTGGCTCATGTTGGAGCACATTTGGAACTTTCCGCTTTTTCATCTTGGGAAGAATTAGCATCTCTTGGATTAGATAGATTAAAATCTGCATTGATGGCATTGGGTTTAAAATGCGGTGGTACTTTGGAGGAAAGAGCGCAGAGACTTTTCAGCACTAAGGGCGAAGCTTCTCTCGATCCAAATTTATTGGCTAAAAGTAAAAATAAAAAATCTGGCAAAGGTAAAGATACGGAAAAACAGAAAGAAGTTGCTAGGATAGAGGCACACGTTTATAGGCTTGCAGAATTGGTTTCTAGTCAGAGAGTATCTACTAAAGAAAATGTACAAAGGAAACAAGCTAGGACAGAAGGTGAACGTGGTGATTCAGATGCGGAAGCAAGTGCTAGTGAATCGGAGGAGGAAGATGATAACGAAGTTCCTTATAATCCTAAAAATTTGCCACTTGGTTGGGACGGCAAGCCTATACCATATTGGTTATATAAATTACATGGTCTTAATATTAGTTACAACTGTGAAATATGTGGTAATTTCACATACAAAGGACCTAAAGCTTTCCAAAGACATTTCGCTGAATGGAGACACGCTCATGGCATGCGTTGTCTTGGTATACCAAATACCGCACACTTTGCCAATGTAACTCAGATAGAAGACGCTCTTGCTTTATGGGAAAAATTGAAAACTCAAAAACAAGCCGAACGTTGGCAACCAGAGCAAGAAGAAGAATTTGAAGATTCCCTTGGAAATGTGGTTAATCGGAAGACATATGAAGACCTTAAAAGACAAGGCTTGTTATAAAGTATTTTAGTTTAACATTTATGTTATTACAATTATCTAAAGTAAATCTTGCTTATATAACATAATCGATAAAATATGTTTAATAAAAAAAATATAGTATATGTGAAAAGAAAATTGTTTAATATGATATAATCTATCTGTTAGTGTTATTATTCACTATACAGTTATTTATTAATTAAACATATTGTTTATATTAATTTCTTATAATTTAATTTAAGATTTATATTTAAATTCTTAAAGAGAGAAGTTCCATTGGAAATATTAAAAGGAACGTATTTTCAACAACCAATCAAAACAATCGACAAGTATCCGAAGCGCCATCTGATAGGAGAAAAAAATATTACTGACTACAGCAACGCCGCGTTTGCTTCACGCTTATACTAAATTTGTACAGTGCTCCGAAAATGGTCTATGTATATTGGTTTGTACATCGATTGGTGATCATTTTTATATAATTATTAACTATTTAATAACCGTATATATTTAATTGAATGAAATAATTGTTAATCAATCATTAATACAAATAATTACATTATTATTTTTTTACTTAATATCATTTTTTAATGAAACAATATTACTGTTTTGAAGTTCTTTTCGTCATCATCGTCCTTGTCGTTTTCTAACCACGTGTTTTGAATTTAATCGTTTTAGCCGAAAAATTAAAAGCTCAACATCAACGTACGTACGAAATATTGAAAGAACATTTGAAGAAAACTAGATAAAAAAAATGCCTTAGATTAAAATGATTTATCTTTGAAACATTCCTGTTATTTTTAATACATATATATATATATATCTTATATATATTTGAATTTTGGTAAATATTCAGCAACCGTTAAACTCCCGTTTTGCGGAGGCATGCTGAAGCAAAATGACGGAATTTGTCGAAGGTTGGATTTTAGGACACACGTTAGGAGAAGGTGCTTATGGCGAGTAAGTATATAAATAATTAAAAATATATATATTATTATAAAATCAGCTATATTAAATATATAACGCAAAGTATTTCATTTGAAAATTAATTTTTACATTATAAATTAAATTACATATTATTTTTACAGAGGTTACACAATGTGAAGAGGAACATAAAACAATAAGTTTTGTTTTTTTCTTTCTTTTTTTTTTTTTTTAAATGGAATGTTCTATTTATTTTACAATAATTAGAAAAATTACATTACATTTCCAAGTAAAAAAAAAAAAAAAAAAAAAAAAGAATGTTAAACCATGTTTGTCTTCTTTAAACCTTTGTTAATATTTTATTAACACATTGAGTGATTTGTTTTTGACAAAATAAAATATTTTAATATTGATATAAATTACATCAACTGATTACGCTAAATGCAAATAACAATAAATTATAATATTTTTGGTTTTTTTTTTGTTATTAATGCAACAAGTCTTGAAACAATTATTAATACACAAATCAACATTGCATTATTTGCATTCATATTGACAAATGCAATATATATATATATATATATATATATATATATTATAATTAAATTTAGGACAAACTATGTGTTTAATATTTTTTTACTTGTAGTAAATTATAATTAAAAATTGACTTTTAAATCTTCAACAAAATGATTGAATTATTTGAATGATTTTAATTTGATTTACCTAACGTTTTTATTTCATATATTTCTCTCTCTACTTTTGTTTTCCTTTTTGGTCATATTTATATTTATAAAATACTTTATTTAATAAAACAACGTGTCAAATAAATGAATAATTTAGAAATATAATGAATTGTTTTCAGAGTCAAGTTGGTTATTAACAAGATTACAGGCGAAGCCGTCGCCATGAAGATGGTTGATGTACAAAAACATCCTGATGCACGACAAAGTGTAAAAAAGGAAACAACCATTCACAGAATGTTGTCTAATTCTAATATAATACAATTTTTTGGAAAACGTAGCGAACCAACTATGGAATATATATTTTTAGAATATGCTTCTGGCGGTGAACTTTATGATAGAATTGGTATAATATTTTAATAAAATTATAATAATTATTAATTATATATAATTATTAGAATAATTATAATATTATTGTTAACAGAACCTGATGTCGGTATGCCCAAATACGAAGCACAAAGATATTTTAAACAATTAATTTATGCAGTTGAATATTTACACAGTCGTGGAGTTGCACATAGAGATCTTAAACCAGAAAATTTATTATTGGACGATAATGATAATTTAAAAATAACAGATTTTGGATTGGCAACTATTTTTCGTGTTCATGGAAGAGAACGTACTTTAGAAAAAAAATGTGGAACTTTACCATACGTTGCACCGGAAGTTCTTGTACAATCTTATTATGCGGAACCAGCCGATATATGGTCTTGTGGTATAATTCTGGTTGCTTTATTGTGCGGAGGTAAGTATATATTATTTTGTTTATTATTCTTTTAATATATACAGTATGGTAACAAAATAGGGTCCAATATATTTCAACGTTTTTATTTTTTATTATACTTATCAAGATTAATTCAAAAATATTTCATTGATATTAACATTTATTTATTTCATAAACAAGTCCTTGCCAACATATTGAATATATATATATATATAAAGAAATTTATTTAATATATGAAAGTATACATATTAATCTGTGATTCATAAATATCACAATTGTGTATTCAAGTAGAATGATATTGTTTTTGTATATATATTATTTTTATTTTGTTTATTTTCATAACCTTAAATTATATATAATTAAAAATATTATATACCTTTATAAAATATTGAATCATGTTTTGTTATCATCCACTGTATTATATTATTGCAAATATATTTGATGATTCTCTATCTATGGCATATTATAAATGATAAATATAAATATAAGAAAAATATTATTAATATTTACCACTTGTAGATCAATGTGCCATATAGTTTGAATTAAAATAAGAATTGTCTAATGCGTAGCTTATATTCTTTAGTTTTTAACTGGTCCATCTCTGAAATATAGAACTGCCTTGGGATCAATCCTTGGCAGAATGTCCAGAATATATGGCATGGAGAAAAGGAACGTACATGTCACTTACACCATGGAAAAAATTGGATAACTTAGAATTGTCTTTAATCAAAAAAATCCTTGCTCATTTACCATCCGCTAGATATACAATACAAGAAATTAAAAATCATCGATGGTTTCTTACGCCATTTAAAAAAGGTAAGTGTTGTTAAGTGAGATTAATCAAATGTTGTTGTTGTTTTTTTTTTTTTTTAATTAATTGATGAATATTTTTCAAATGCTTATATTTATTGTCCCTTGTAAGAAAAACTACATTGTTAAATGTGTATACCCAGTGTTTACTTAGTCAGGTACTGAGTGACTTTGAGCATATACAAAATTACCCAAAGCTGCTTGGTACCTAACTGCGTGGACATCTGTTTCTACGATTTTTGTCTCCTTTTCTAGAATTAACGTAAGTATTCGAAAATTTCACATCATCTAAAATGTACAATAACGTGTCTTATACAATTATAATCCCATTCCTATTCCTATAATATTTTCCTTTTTTTTTTTTTCAGCAATACAATTTACAAATATCTTCACGTTTTTACAACAACAACAACAACAACAACATCGATATCATTAAAAGCTATTACCTTTTCTTTGGTAATACAGCTCTATGATTTTAATTAACAGTCATAAAGCTAGATTACCAAAGCAAAGTGCATTGGCAAATTACAACATTCAACCAAAAGTACTTTTTCACGAAGAAAATATTATTTTATATAAATATGTTTGATATCAAGTAAATCAAATATTAAATGTCCTAATATATGATATATATATATATATTCAGTTTATTTGAGGTTTTTTTTCCAACTAAACGATATCAGCATATTCTATTCACGAAAATGAAATGAAAATATTGTAATAATACTCTAATGCTTATTCACAATTATGTGAAATACATGATTCATTTTGTTGATACTTTGAATGAGCAAATTAGATGATGATTTACAATTTGTATCGTTCAATGAGTACTACCCCCCTTGACACCATTTAACTGGAAGTACCTCAGACATCTTGTATATATGTATAATAAAAATAAAAAATTGATAATTCATATTTTTGTTACTACAGATGATCTACAAAGTAATAGATATAATATGCCAGTTAGTAATTATAGTCAAGTAGATGGATGTAATGCATCGAGATCTTGTTTATCACAACCTGACTTTGTTGGAGAGGAAAATGTAGATATTGAAAATATGAAATTAGATGAAAAGACAGGTTTCTCGTTTTCTCAACCAGCTCATATCGAAGATTTATTACTTTGTACTCAACCAATGCAATGTACTGCACATTCAAGTTCGGTAAGTATAATATACATATATAATATATAACATACAATATATATATATTAATTTAAATGAAAAATAATGCTTTTATTTATTATTATCATAAATTTCAGCAAACACCTTTCCAACAGCTTGTTAGACGTATGACTAGATTCTTCGTGACAACAGATTTTGAAACGACAGTTAAAAAATTATTAAACTGTTTACAATATGAGAGTTATACGTATCGTATTAACGATTTTCGCATAGTACGTATCAAAAAATCAATAATTATTAATTAGTATATTAAGTACTAAGTATTTTTTCTTTTTTTTTTTTTGAGCATTCCTTTAAACTTTCCTCGATAGAAAGTTTAAGGACAAGTCTTTGTCAATTTTATGTATGAAAATTTAAATTATCATTAACTGATATTATTATTATTTTTTTTTTTTTCATATAATAACTTTTGTTTTTCTTATTTTGTTATACAAAATGATTATTCTTTTAGATTACAATATCAACGGTAGACAAAAGAAATATGCCTTTGGTGTTCAAAGCGAATATTCTTGAAATGGATAATAAATTATTGGTAGATTTTAGATTATCCAAAGGATGTGGTCTTGAGTTTAAAAGAAAATTTGTTAAATTCAAATCTTTACTTTCCGATATCATTTTAAAAGTACCTGTTACATGACGTGTGTATGTTGTTGTCGTCGTCGTCGTCGTCTACTACCTCTAATGAAAAATCGTGACTAAAATAAGATTTTTTTCTGTGCCAAGTTAATATAAGAGGTACAAATTTAACAATGATGTTCTTTTATATATTTTTTTAATAAAATACTTATATTGAAGTTATCCTTTATCCCATTTAATTGTTTTTAAAAAAATTACCTTCTTATTCTTCTTCTTTTTCTTTTTTTTTTTTTCCCCCTAAATGTTCCATATAATACATCTTTGTTTTATTGTTAATATTCAAAATATCATTTTCATCGAATAAATTTGATTGAAATATTTGTAAATTATAAAAATTATAATAATATTTCATTTATTTATTTAAATATATATTTCGTAGAATCAGACTTGTATAATGGACACGTGTGTTTGTTACTCTATTAATATATAGGTTAGAAACATAAAGGTTATATAGGTTAGAATTATAAAGGATTGTTTTGAATAGAAATGATAGCAGATAGGACAGACATTTTCTTTTTATAAATAAAATTAAAAAACGATTATAAAGTGTAATTAGATAGAAAATGTTAATTTTGAAATATTACATATTTATAACAAGTGGTAAATTAATATTTTTATTAGGTTAGAATTATAAAGTATTGTTTTGAATAGAAATGATAACAGATAGGACACACATTTTCTCTTTATAAATAAAATTGAAAACTATTATAAAGTGTAATTATAGATAAAAAAAAAATGTTAATTTTTAAATATTACATACTTATAACAAGTGGTACATTAATATTTTTATTAGCATGCTATATCAAATTAGCTTATTTGTTGGATGTAATGGGACAATTGTTTTCATTGAATACTATTAAATCAAATTACGATTACATCGTTGGTATGCTGTTTATTTTTATAATTAATAAATGAATTAAAATTAAAAACATAACATATGTCATTTAATCATAAATTGTTTACATAGAACATTTTTAAAACTAATATCTCATTTACAGTTGGAGCTGGAACTTCTGGTGCAGTTATTGCTGCAAAATTAGCAGAAGATGGAGAAAATGTTTTATTAGTAGAAGCTGGTGGTAAAGCACCGTTATTTTTAGATATACCATTATTGTCACCTTTATTACAAAACAGTTTATACGATTGGCAATATGTAACGGTACCTCAACACAATGCTTGCAAAGCATTGAAAAACAATGTATGCTCAAAGAATTTTGTACTATTTATATTTTTCATTATATATACATGTATGTATGTCTAATGATGATGATGATGATGATGATGATATTTAATTATTTACAGCAAAGTAAATGGCCAATGGGAAGGATACTCGGTGGAACTAGCAGATTAAATTATATGACATACGTACGTGGACATCATCAAGATTATGCCAATTGGTTTCCTGATTTTAATGGTATTTTTTAAACAATGTAACTTTATATTATATTCTTTCATTCGAATATTTGAATATCTCATTTGCTTTTATAGATTATATACTTGGAAAAAATGATTCGGTTAAGATACAAGAATCAAAATGGCATACCGATCTTGTTAATGCAATATTGGAAAGTATATTGGAAATCGATGGGAAAGTTGGTAACATAAACGAAGCCTTAGATACAGGTCTAATTATATTTTATTCAAATTGTCTGTATATTTACTATAACTCTTTAAAAACTACTTTTATATATTTATTTATTTATTTAGGTTTTATGAAAGTTCAATTATTTGCCGATAATGGTAAAAGGTGGAGTACGGATGATATGTTGTATAGAAAATATTTAAATACTTTGGACATTCTTACTCATGCTAGAGTTGATAAGGTATTTTAAAATATATTTATAATATATGTTAATTATTATATATTTCAATTTAACATTTAACCCTTTGCACTCCGCACGACTTCGCGGTAGAAACGGCACATTTATAGATCCTCGTATTATTTAGTATAACTTTGGAACCAATTAACGAATACTAATGATATTGGACTTATATTAATCTGTAAACATCAAGGAATATATTTACTTAAAGAGAATGTGTGTGTGTGTGTAATAGCGTTGCAATTGAAAAAAAGCGAGCGCGTTCCATTGTATTTGAAATGTGACACTATTTGATAATATTTCTTTGTACATTATAAATCTCACTATAAAATGCGAGATATGCTTCTATAAAAACCTTTCTTTTACAAATTCTTCTTATCGCTCTTCTCAAGTTCGGTCAAAAAGTTCTCGGACCGTCGTGAGCACGCGTCTCGCATTCTCTTCCAACACAAAATCCGCTGACATTTTTTTTATATATATCTTTGTTATTTTACTATATTTTGATTCGATGTCTTGTGCTATTTTAAGAGAAAACATCAGGGAAACATGCATGTCTCAAAAAGTTGTGCTGAAATAACTTAATGTCCCGTAATCACTAATAAACTTTAATGTCTCATACGATGAGACAGCGGAGTGCAAAGGGTTAAATATATGCCATTAGCTAATTGGTTAACAAATATAATCCATTCAATGACGATAATGTTTTACTACCTAAATTGTTAGTTAACCGATCATATAATATATTTTAACAGATTTTAATAAATTCAAATAAAGCAACAGGTATAAAATTAAGAAAATTTGGTAGAGTTTCGAAAATTCTAGCAAAAAATGGGATCATCGTTAGTGCTGGTGTAATTGGTAGTCCTAAATTATTAATGCTTTCCGGAATAGGTCCAGAAAAACATTTGAAAGATATGAAAGTAAATAATTCTTGTTAAATTTATTATACTTTAGATGTATTAGATTTTCATGAACACATTTACAATTAATATTTTAATTGTAATTAGATCAAAGTGATCAATAATTTACCAGTTGGTCAAAATTTAATGGATCATCTTCTAACTGGTATCGATTTAATAAGACTGAAGACAAACTTATCTTTCAATATGATTAACACTCTTAATCCTATAGCAATACTCAATTATTTTCTTTTTGGCCAAGGTAAATGATCATAAACATAACTAAATAGAAATATCTACGATATAATATTAATCATCATTTTATTTTTAGGACCATGGACATCGTCAGGAATTGAAGTTTTAGGAACATTTCATAGCTCTTTACAAAAGAATCAATCCTCGAGTCCAGATTTACAATTAATGATACTACCTCTTGGTATATCAACAGATTACGGTATAACTCTGAAAGAAACAATTGGAATTTCAGATGAGGTCTGAAATTTCAAATTTATTATTTATAATTAATTAATATATATGACCATATATTTGTTTGTTTATTTCTTTTTTTTTTTTTTTTATAGGTATATGATAAATATTTTGCACCATTAGAAAATGATAATGTTGTAACAATAGCACCTGTTTTGTTACATCCCAAAAGTTTAGGAGAAATCAAACTTCGTAGTAATGATCCTTCTGATGAACCTATAATTGATCCAAAATATCTGTCCAATAAACATGACATTGATACGCTTGTAAATGGTAAAATGACAATGTCTGATAATTAATTAATTAATTAATTAATATATCTTACATTATTCGCATCATAATGAATCATTGTATTTTTTGTATAGGTATACAATATCTTAAAAAGCTCATTAATACTAGTGCCATGAAAAAGCTAGGCGCATCTCTTTATAAAAAATCTTTACCAGGCTGCGAAGCTTATGAATTTGATTCATTAGAATATTGGGAATGTTATATAAGGTATTTATCATTAACCGCTTATCACCCTGCAGGAACATGTCGTATGGAAGATGTTGTTGACACGTCATTTAGGTAATTATACAAATGATGTTAATAGTATAGGAGGTAGCAACATTTTCGAGAGACAATTTCAGTTCAGCTGATTTTTTTATATGTCTTCCTTCTTGCTCTTTCAGTTACAGCCTGGGCTACCTGGCTGGTGATAGTGGTTGCGTTTAATAGTGCGCATCCTACCTGTACAGGTAATAATCCTAGATTTTAAAAACATTTTAAGAAGCCTAATTTTCTATTTATTGACTTTAGATAGGTTTACCAAACATAAATTTTTTTTTATCAGACATTTTTATCATTGCTAATTATCTGCCATACGCAGATAATAGAACATTTGAACAATGTGTAAAACAATGTGTATTGTGTCCATGCATTTCTCCGTGGCGCGTGGTGGGGGTATTATTTTTCCTCTGTCGCGCATCTAACCTCGGCTTCCTTCGGCTTCTTTCGAGAAGGGGTCGAAATGTTCCGCGATCTGGCTTCACTGTTCAGAGTGCAAGAGAGATTGACAGCGACGGTGGCGCTACTGGCAAGTTTACAAGATGGCGTCAGTCTAAAGTCACATCTTTCTGTTCGTGTTGTTTTTACTGTTTATTTTAAAATTTTGTTACAATGGCCAGTGATAAAATGAGATGTGTTTTTTGCAAAGGGAAAAATGATAAAAATCGCGTATGACAGATAATTAGACATTAATAATTAATGATAAAAGTGTCTGATAATAAAAAATTTATGTTTAGTAAACCTATTTAAAGTCAATAAATAGAAAATTAGGCTTTTTAAAATTTTTTTAAAATCTAGGATTATTACCTGTACAGGTAGGATGCGCACTATTAAACACAACCACAGCAAAAATGCAACGCAGCAACCAACGTAAAAAATCAGCTGACCTGAAATTATTGTTTTCCCGTTGTTGCTATCTCCCGTACTATAATTACTTTCGTTAATATGTTTACTTAGTTTCATTGTTGATTTGTTCTATTAAAAAGAAATACAATTATTTTAGGGTACATAATATAACAAATTTATATGTAGTTGATGCATCGGTGCTACCATCTTTGCCTAGTGGCAATATAAATGGTGCTCTTATAATGATGGCAAAGAAAGCTGTTGATATATTGAAAGAAATAAGAAATAAACAGTCGCACAATTTAAGATATACTAATAGTACATCTCTTTTATGTTATACGTTTAATATTTGTAATAAATTTTGTGACTTATAATTATTTACAAATAATATTAAATATATATATATATATATATATACGCATCTTATTTTTACAAATAACAAAAATATTTATAAAATATTGAAATTATAATGTAAATAGCATTCATACACTACATCGAGTTAATATAATCATTTGATTTACAGAGTTTCGGATATCATTTCCATCAAATTTGCTTCATCAACTTCTTCTTCTATTAATAAACCTTGAACGTCCTCAATAGTCATATCCACAAAATCTTCGCCTCCGATTGATTTAGCAAGTTCTAATATGTCACCAATTTCATTTTGTGACGATTTACGCACGTTTTCTATTTCAACTGAAGAGGGTCATATCTTTTTCCAACACGCATTTAACGTTGATGTTTTCAGTTCACAACAGCGTGAAACACTTTTGTTTTCAGGCCATGAAGATGAAAAGAAATACTTTCCGCAACACTGTATCTTTAAGATGGCAAGCCTCGCCGCGGCTGTAGAAGTACAGTGTTGTACAAAGGTTTTTTGAAAGAAAACAGTTTTATAGAATGCCGTATTGTAGGAGGGTTCCTGCAATTATGAATCGTGTTAGGAGAAACCGTGTTATTAGAGGGATTGCCGTAAATTGTAAATCGTGTTAAAAGAAACCGTGTTTTTGGAAGGATACCTGTATAATATACATGTTACTTTACAAAATTTATATTTATACAAAATATTAATGATAATTTCTATTATCTAATGATATTTTCTATTATTTTTATAATTACTATGTTTAGAATAATCATTTGAATGGCTGCTGCTATTAGAATGATTTCTATTTTTATAAGGTTTATTATTTTTATGATGATCGCGTCTATTATTTTCATGATCACGTTGATAAGGATGATTTCTCCTAGAATGTCTGTCATCACGATGAGTATCAATTTTGCCACTATGGATGTTCATGTTCGGTGCTACGTTCATAGGTAGCATATCCGAACCTACATTTGACACAAAGTTTCCTATAAATGTTTGTTGACCCAAATTAAGTAAATGATTCAAATTATAAATATGTTCTTGTTTTTGTTTTTCTATTTCCGATGATTCCACGTTACTTCTTGTTTTCATATTAATGGGTCGATTAAATAATTTAGTTCCGTTAAAGAGAACTAAAGCGTAGGATACAGAACTAATATGTTTATATGTTACAAAACCATAACTTCTTTGTTTTCCATCACGATCTTTAGGTATTGCAACTCTTTGTACTGGACCACCCTACAACAACAACAAACAACAAATTGTAGATTGAGGTTAACCTATATATATTATTTATTATATTATTAGGTTATAATATATATTACTTAAGTATAACAATAACTTACTTGTAAAAATAATTCGTAAAGAATTTCTTCTGTGACTTGGTCACTTAAATTTCCGCACCATAACGTACGTATATCTTCATCCATTTTTTAACTTTTTCTTTTTCTTTTTTTAAGAAAGTATTATTTGCTATTATTATTTATACTCATAAAATTTGTTGTCATAGAAAGAGGTTTTTAAATTGGTAACATTGCCATATACTAATAAATTGCAATGCTTAGATCAGTGGTTGAACCCTGAACCGCTTTATAACCCACCAGGGGGTGATAGTGTTCTTTAGATATAGTTATAAAAATTGTAAATATTGTATATATGCTCCTATCACCTTCCAATCCTTTCCCTTATCCTTCTTTACCTCTCCCTTGCCCTAAAGGTTTGCCAAAGATGTACTGGTTTTTTTTATGTTTTAGTTTTCCATTACTTATTCTGTTGATCTCATAACAGTCTGCAATATGTAGAGATTAAGATAATAACGTTTAGTTGCTATACATGTATTAATGTGTTTTGGAGAGACGCTTCAAGCAAAAAAGACTACCAAAAATTATATGTTAAATACTTTATTGATTAAGCGGTTGTAAGGTCATTTATGGCTTATGTATGTATATTAACAATGTTAAAAATAAACAACCTTTTAAAAAAAAAAAAAACAAAAAACCAGGAGAGGATATCACCCATTTTGGAAACCACTGGCTTAGATGAATCGACAGTTAATCAGGAATTTCGTTGATCAGCCAATGGTATTTCCGATGTATAAAGTTATATATAAAACAAATAAATTTCTTTAAAATATAGAAATATATAGTTATATGTAAATTAATTAATAAAAAAGGAAAAGAAAAGGAAAGACTAACTCTTTGCTCATTGGTTCATACAAAATTGTAATCGATTGAATTATCCAATCACTGCAGACTTTACACGAGCACACACTATGCCTTTATATTATATATAAAACAAATAAATTTCTTTAAAATATTGGAATATATAGTTATATGTAAATTAAACAATTTTTTTAAATAAAATATATAACATTAAAATAATTAATATAAAAGGAAAAGCTAACTCTTTGCTCATTGGTTCAAACAAAATTGTAATCGATTGAATCATCCAATCACTGCAGACTTTACACGAGCACGCTATGCGTTTATGTTATATATAAAACAAATAAATTTCTTTGAAATATAGAAATATATAGTGACATGTAAATTAAACAATTTTTTTTTATAAAATATATAATATTAAATTATAATTAATAAAAAAGGAAAAGAAAAGGAAAAGCTAACTCTTTGCTCATTGGTTCATACAAAATTGTAATCAATTGAATCATCCAATCACTGTAGACTTTACACAACCATGCTATGCTTACGTGAATACACGATTCTTCATCTTCATTTGCATCTCACTTCCATAAATGGAGTTTTTAAGCTAGTGTATCTTGAGATATTATCCAGAAGATTAGTGTAGTAAATTTTTAATTAGTATATAAAAAAAGAAAAAAAAAATTGGTATTTTAATATAAAATAGTTTTTTAATTTATATTGGGCTTTCTTAATATTTGGTAATGTATATATTTTTTAACATATTTACTTGCAACAAATGAAAATATCTAATATACAAGTTAGCGTCTTGTGCATAACCATTTTATTATAAAAATATTATTCTTCGTATCTGCATGGAAACATTGGTTAATTAAAATACTCGAATTGTATTGATCTCTCGATACAAATAGAATAATACGATATATATATCTTGTAAGATAATAAAACAAATATATATTTACACATTTTAATGAAACATTTATTAGTCTTACATTTATACGATATTTTTGTCTTATTTTTGCTTGTAAAATATGTAGTTAACGTTTAGTGAGATAAAAATTGAGATACTTTGTATATTAGGTATTCAATTTATTATTATTTAGCAAATTTCATTATTTCATAAGAGAATTTCATTTTTATTGTATATTACATATTATGAAATACGCAATATTATTTATTATTAGAATTAAAATAACGTGGATATAACAAGAAATATTGCATTTTTACTTAATATGGATATAGTATAAAGTATTGAATTCTATTTAATGTGGATATATCAAATAATACATAGTACTTAATATGGATATAATAATGAGTATTATACATTCTATTTAATATGGATATATTATTAAATATTGTGCATTCTATTTATTATGGATATAAAAACGAGTATTGCATTTTATTCAATGTGGATATATTACTGGCATGAGTATTGCTTAATACTTAATGTGGATATACCAAGTAATACATAGTACTTAACACTAGATATACCACCATTTTCAGTATACATATTTCTACCACACCAATCAAAATGACTGAGTGTATTAAAAAAAAAAAATGCTTTTTGAGGCTTCCAGTCTTTATTTACTCTTAAAAAATAACAAAAAATATTTAACAATAATAATTTTAATAGATATTTTTAAATAACAAAACGCTTAATTATTTACAGAACTTAAATATTACATGAAGTAGAAATTTTGAATTAAAATGGCCCGACCAGTCAAAATGACTGATCTGGTATATCTAGTGTTAATATGGATATAATAATGAGTATTATACATTCTATTTAATATGGATATATTACTAAATATTGCATTCTATTAAATGTGGATATAAAAACGAGTATTGCATTTTATTCAATGTGGATATACTGAGTATTGCATTCTATGTAATGTGTTGATATACCAACTATTGCATAGTTCTTAATGTGGATATAATAATAAGTATTGTATTATATTTAAAATGGATATACTGAGTATTGCATTTTTACTTAATATGGATATAGTAAGAAGTATTGTATTATATTTAAGGTTAAGTTATATCTAGGGACCCTATAGGAGGGACGCGCCATGTACATTGCTGGGGGACAGGAACTCGTGTAGTCATGTGATTACGCGCGAATAATTCAAACGATAAGTTATAGGTTAGGTTTATACATTTATAATTGTAATTATTAAATGAGTAAATTAAACTTACACTTATAGAATACTACTAAAAAAACATGGCTGCACGATGCAACGGAAGCTGTCCCCCCACATTTTCAGCCTAGCAATGTACATGGCGCGTCCCTCATATAGGGTCCCTAGTTATATCTAACCCTTAGCATTCCAAGTGTTCCTTTCATGCACCACGGATGTGCAACGTTCTACTTCAAATATATCGTTGAGTTGTTATCGGTAATTATTACGAATCAAAAATAATACTCCTTAGTCATTTACAAGTGTCACTTTAATATTTAAAATCTAACATTTAGAATCTTGCAACTTGAAGTATGTTGAGAATAAGTTGGTATTATTACCAATTGATAACCACAATTAAAAGTCAGAGCGTTAAGGGTTGAAATGTATATACTGAGTACTGGATTTTTATTTAATACAATTATATTGCTGAGTATTGCATATTATTTAATATGGATATAATAATGAGTATTGCATTTTATTCAATGTGGATATTAATAAATAAGTATTGCATTCTATTTAACATTAGATATACCACTATTTTCAGTATACCTATTTCTACCACACTAGTCAAAATGACTGGTGTATACAAAAAAAAATGCTATTTGAGGCTTCCAGTCTTTGTTTACTCTTAAAAAATAACAAAAAATGTTTAACAATAATAATTTTAATCGATATTTTTAAATAACAAAATGTTTAATTATTTACAGAACTCAAATGTTACATGAAGTATAAATTTTGAATTAAAATGGCGTCAACCAGTGAAAATGGTGACGGGTCTGGCTGGTATATCTAGTGTTAATATAAATATAATGAAAAATATTGCGTTATATTTATGGTGTATATATAGTAGCATTAAATATATTTCAAAGAAAATAATCTAGATAAAGAAATGATTTAAACAATATTTAATATAATATTTTATATCAACGACCAAATGTGACATATTATAAAGGAACAAAATTTTAATTAGTCGATCAATTATTATACAGTTGTTTTTTTTTTGTTATTGTTGACATATTAGTTTATTCTTTTTCATTTGTCTTGTTCTCTTCTTATAGAAATGGATAAAAGTAATGAAAATCTAGATAGCCACAATGAGAAGCGAAGAGGTGTATTTAGAAGTGTTGTTCAACCATCACAATCAAGAAACGCAGAAGAAAAGCAAAGACGTAGAGAAGAATGGAAAAAGCAAATGAAACTTCAACAAGAACATGAAAAATTAAAAAAAAGAAAGATATTAGAATACGAATTAAATCGTTATCGTGAAATAAAAGCAAGAAGCAGCAGGGGAAGATCAGCAAGTGAAAGCGATAGAAAAACAAGAGATAGATCTTCCCGAGATAAATCATTGGACAAAAAAATAAAAGCAACGAGTTCTAAATCATCCAACATGGCTGATAAGTGAGTTAAAACTTTAATTATTATTATCTAATACAAATATAAATTGATTTAACATACTAAGCGTTAAATCATGCTGGTTTTTAAAAAATTCACGTTAGATTTTCCATTTTCCGCTGTGATTGTCCCTAGGTGTATTATCTTTGAGAATAAAAAAAAAAAAACAAATAAGAATATGTAAGTGTTTATGAGGATTTAATAATCATTTTGGCATAATTCAATTTTTTTCATTAACACGTGGAACGCCACGTCCGCCATTGGTGACGGGACATTAGACTTTCCGTTTAGGCCACACGTCAGTCATCGGTGGTTGACACTGAAAATGAGCGTGGCGCTGAACATGTTAATTTTTCTGTCATAAATAACCATTTACGCTTGATAATATATTAGCATGTGAATGGAATATTAATCAAAATGAGCTTGTTGACACTAAACGTGTTAAACATGATTATATGCTTATTAAAAGATTTCTATTAATATTCTAAATAGTTGTAACAAATTACAACAAATTGTAAATATTTAGATCGGGTTTTTCAAGCAGAGATGATTCAACTACCAGATTTCGAGGACCGGAAGGAGTTAAAATAAGCAAGGAAGAATTACGTACTATTACAGTAAACATACACAGAAAATTGTCTGTTGAAAATCCATCGTTCGAAATAAATCGTGACATTCTTGTACCGGAGGAAATTGTCATACGCAGAAGAAGTGGTAAATTATTATATAATGTCTATTATTATATATATATCTATATAAATATATAAATATTATTAGATTTATTTTGATAGACAAAGTATCAAAGATAAATATGTAAATACTATTACGTTTTAGTTTTAAATATATACATATGGTTAAATATATTTCCAATTATTGTTCTATATAGATAAAAGGAGAAACAGCAATTTTCTAAAATTACAAAAATTAATATATCTTTCGAATTTTAATATACACGCATACATTTCTATCTTTTTTTTTTTTATTTTTTTATTTTTTTTTTTAAATTACAAAATGAACATTTTACATTATTACTTGATTTTACAAAGTAATACTTCTTTTCAAAAATATTATCAAAGAAGAATTATAATATAGAATTATATTTATAAGAAAATATATTTTTATTCTCCATCTACGTCAACTGAAGATATTTATGATCCATTGGAGTATTCGACTATGAAGATAACAAAATATTTATATACTGTTTTTAGACCTAGAGCTAGCAACCGATTTAGGAAACTTTTTTACAGAATGAATTTTTTACCTAATAAAGTTTGGAACGGAGTCGGCAAAAGTGTAGTCCGATAGTCAGACAACTTTTATTAAAATTAGGGGGGGGGGGCTACCAAAATTATTAAGTAATACTTCTTTTCAAAAATATTATCAAAGAAAAATTATAATATAGAATTATGTTTGTAAGAAAATATATTTTTATTCTCCATCTACGTCAACTGAAGATATTTATGATCCATTGGAATATTCGACTATGAAGATAACAAAATATTTATATACTGTTTTTAGACCTAGAGCTAAGAACTGATTTAGGAAACTTTTTTTACAGGGTGAATTTTTTACCTGAAAAAGTTTGGAACGGTGTCGGCAAAACTGTAGCCCGATAGTCAGACAGTTTTTATTAAAATTAAAGGGGGGGCCGGGCCCCCAAAATTGTTAATTTATGTTATAAAATAAATGACTAGAAATATAGCTGAAAATTTACGTAGATATCCAGAAACATGAGAGAAAGCACAGAGAAAAATGTCAGACGTGTAAGCTGACGACAAAGGGAATTGGAAAAAGTATAATTCCCAATATGAAAGTCTGTTCACTCCATTTGATTAAAGATGATTTATTTTTTAGCTTCACTTGAGTATTTTTAACAATTATTTTTTCTGGTTATTATAAATTGTTAAATCAATAAATTTACTCATGCTTATATTGTTTTTGTGTATTGTTATAGCTATTGATTCAACTTGAATTTATTTAAAAAAAAAAACAAGTATTCCTAGTCAAAATCTTCCTTTAGGATCATCCAAAGAATGTGCTTGTCTTTTAGAACAAATAGATTCTCGAGAAGAAAGAATACGTAGAAGATCAATTGAATTAATGACAGTTAATGATATTGCAATACTGCCACAACATGTTTACAAATACCACTTAAACCAGCCTTGCATGAACAACTCATTCTAATTATTCGACCTGCCAGAGATCCCAATAGTACATATGTATAAGATACTTTCATTTCGGAGCAAACGATGAAAAATATAAAAATAAATAGGCAGCAAACGAAGGATCAAATGTTATGAAGAGCACTTAAATACTGCGTGAGCAATTCAGGTACATACAATATACGACAGTGCCCTTTAATTTTAATGAAAACTGTCTGACTATCGGGCTACACTTTTGTCGACACCGTTCCAAACTTTTTCATGTAAAAAATTCACTCTGTAAAAAATTTTCCATAATCGGTTGCTAGCTCTAGGTCTAATACATATATATATAATATCTTCAATTCGTAATTAATTAATTATTATTTATCCATTCAGGATTAAAATTCACTTCGAATACAACGCTGGATCTCGTGATTTGTATGCAATGCATTCAAGAGTGTAAGCACAATTTATTTCAATATTTATTATCGCTGTAATCAATATTTTTGCTTTTGCTTATTATATTTCATTTTTTTCTTTTTTTTTTTGGCTTGCTATATTTTCTTCTATTTTTTTCTTTTTTTGTTCAACCATTAATTTGAGTGCTGTGAGTCTAATTGTAATTTATTATTATTATTATTCTCTTGATTGAAAAAGAAATTAATTAAGTTTTTATAGATACATAGATAGATAGATAAATAGATAGATACATTTTACTGCTTCCCCGAAGAGTTACATTCCGTTTACAATTATATCCTTAACCTATCTTAACACTACCCTCTCCCTCACTTCTCCCTTCCTCCTTTCCCCTCCACTCGTCCCATACCCCGCTTCTACCTCCCTCACTCTCAACCTTGTCCCTCCTTTCCCTCTCTTATACTCTCAACCCAACTCATCCATTCTTCCCCTATTCCACTCTCATTCAAAATCTCTTTTATCTTCTCTTCTATTGCTCTCCCGTCCTCCTCACCTATCGTTCTGATGCAACCTTCCAACAAATGCTCCCACGTCTCTCTCTTCCATCTACACACCCTGCATCGTCTCCTCTCCCCCTCCTCCCAGTATCTTCCTTCCCTCATCTCATTCCCTAATCTGAATCTCGCCACTCTTCTCTTCCTCTCTTCCCTCCACTTGCCTTCCAAATATTTTGGTAACCCTTCCGCTACCACTAACCTATATCACTTATTATATCTGGAGCTTTGTATTATATCCCACCTTTCTTCCTCCAGCCGCCTTTTTTCCTCCTTCTCAATCTCTTCCCAACTTTCAACATCCTCCTCCTCCCTGCCCTGCGCTAACCTCTCTTTAAACTTTATCCTCTCTACTTCCCACTTTGACTTCTGTACTTCCTCCTCCCTTTCTCTCTCCTGCGCCTCTTTCCAACACTCTCTCGCCAGCTCACTTCCCTCTCCTCTCCTTAATTTCTCCTCGTACTTCCACGCTCTTATCGCCGCCTTTATTTCCAATTTGTCTCTTTTCCCTTCTTCTCTTATCATGTACCCTGGTGTCCTCCAGTCGTCTACTCCCATAGTCCACCTCAAAAACCTTTCCTGCACCCCCTCAATCTCCTTCCTCTCCTCCCACCCCCATATCTCCGCTCCATAACTTAAAACTGTCCACACTAGTGTGTCAAAAATAGCCACAACCTCCTCACCCAATCCTTGCCGAACATCCTCCTTCCCAATCCCCAAATCTGCCTCATTGCGACCTCTGCCTTCTTCACCCTCTCCTTCACGTGTGCTTCCTGACCTCCATTCTTCCTGAACACATAGCCCAGGTACCTGAATTCCTTCACCTGCTTTATTCTCTTCCCCTTCCAATTCCAGTCAATTTTTCTATTTCTTCCCCCTCCTCTCCTAAATCTCACAATCTTCGTCTTTATTATTCTATATATATATATATATATATATATATATATATTTAATATATTTGTACTAGTTTTGTCTTATTTATTCTCTTTTTTTTTTTTAATTATATATTGCAATTGAAAATTTCTATGCATGAATAATAATAATAATAATAATAATAATAATAATAATTTTTTTAAATGGAATGATATTATGTGGTTGATTACAATATCATCTAGAGAAGATCACATTTGTGCATGACACAACAACAACAATATTTTCACGTAAGATTATTTAACAACACCTCGAATAATTTTATTATACAATTCAACTTTGAAGATTGTTTTAATTAAATTAAGAATACTAAGAAAAAACTAAAGTTCTACACACGTGTTAATTATAATTCTATCGTTTTTACATTTAAAATTAATTAGATATCTGTGAAAGATGGTAATAGAATACAAAACAAAGGTGCTTGTATATATATATAACATTATAAATAATATTTTAAAGAACAAAAATATTGTTTATTTTTTGTTCATGTTAGAAAAAAAAAAACAAAAATCAAATTTACAATTTAAAATTACGGGGATAATAATTCAATAACGTGATCAAAAATAAAGAAATTTTCTTCTATAAAGTGGCACAAGAAGTATCGATTGTAGTTTGCACAACAAAAAAATATCAAAATTAAACAAATCTCACGATTGGGCCCAAGTAGTATGGTTAAACGAGATGAAAATTAATCGTTTTGAGTGCAGTGGAGGACGCAAATGGACATGTCGAAGAAAATAAAGAACAACTGCAAGTCATATCAAGTTTATCCAACATTGAAGTTTGGAGAAGGTCATATCATGATTTTGGGGTTGTATGACCAGTGAAGAGGGTGTCAGATGCGTTGAGAAAATTGAAGGTCGAATGATTTCAACATCATACACATCCATCCTGCAGAAAAGTTTCATTGGAAACTTGGCAAAGTGGAATAAGAACGCATAACAAATCATTTTTCAACATGACAATGACCCAAAACACCAGAAAAATCACCAAAGAATGGTAAACAGCTTATGGATTTATTTTTTTAGACTGGATCCCCCCATAGTCTCTCAATTTGAACCCAATAGAACACACTTATGGGATTTACTAAAAAGAACAGTTGTCAATTTCGATCAATTGTTTGAGTCACTGTATATATATAATCAAATTATTCAATTTTAGAAGATTTCAAATTAAAATAGTTTTTTTCTTGTGTGCAATTGTTGAACAGTGATATATATATATATTTGTTATTGTGCATTATGTCGTTTAGGATTTATAGTTCATATATATAAAATCTTTTAAATTATTCGTTTAAACTGCGTGTGAGTGCGTATATGTGTACGTATATCTCTGATTTTAATTACACAAGTTTATGGATAAGTGAATGAATTTATATTCAATGAAATTGAATATTTTTATTAACTAAAAAATATATTCATCATCATCATCATCATCATCATCATTGAAGAATAATAAAGCATCTACGAAGAACTATAAATATTGATGTTAACAATGGTTCAGTGAATTTTATTAAAATATTGTGAATTTATTTATTTATTTATTTATTTATTTATTTATTTATATATTGGCATCTCTAGCACTTGAATACGCTAACTGGTGGCTAAATTCAACATTAGAGTAGATAGGTCGAATTGCTACTGCCACGCCCCTGTCAGAGATCCCAATATATTCTTTCTATAGTGTTTCAATAGTGATATTTGTTTTTTTGTTATTGATGTTTCATCCGGAAGATTATTCATCAACTGTATAATTTGTTACATATACATATATCTATATATATTTATTTATATATAATAATGTTAATATATTAAAATTATTATTTATAATAATATAATATACGGTAATAATAATAATGAAATACAAAAAAATATATTACATTAATGAAAATGACGCGGAGAATGAAAAATGTATTTTTTATTTTTTTTTTTATTTTTTTTTTTTTTTTTTGTTAAATAATTTTATATACCAAAGTATTTATATTATTTAACTTCACTCATTTTATTCTAACATCGAGATAAATTTTTATTATCAAAAATAATACATTTTTAAGAACCAATTTTCTTGATAATAGGGAAAACATTACGGTTAATAATCAAACGGTAAATAGTATATAAAATTACTTAACACAAAATAATTGATAAAATGTTTAATATTTTATATATATATATATTTTTTATTCTAGGATTGTTTAAATTATAACACATACATATCCCCTAATGCTTGAATTTTATTCGCTATTCTATTTTTTTTTATAACACACGGGCATACATATATATATATATATATATAACAGATAATTATATGTATTCGAACAACTAATTATTTCCTTTTTTTTTTTTACATGCGTCATTGAACAGGAGAAGGTTCTAAACCAATATTTGAAAGGGAAGAACTAAAAAGCAATACTAAGGAACATACAACAGAAATCTTTGAAGAACGTCGTACAGTGAAGGCCGCTAAAAGTAGTGACACAGGTGTGTGTGTGTGTGTATTTTTGTATGTGTTTTATATTAATTATTAATAAATTTACTGTTTATTTATTAATCATATATAATAATATTGGGATCGGTAACACTTGAATACGCCATCTGGTGGCTAAATTCAAAATTAGAGTAGATAGGTCGAATTGCTACGTCACGTGTGGGATCTGTAACACTTGAATATGCTATATAGTGGCTAAATTCAAAATTAGAGTAGATAGGTCGAATTGCTACTGCCACGCCTCTGCCAGAAATCCCAATAATAAATTTGATTTGTTAATAATTAATAATTTAAAATACAAATATTAGGTTATGTGTGATATTTATCGTTAAAAGGTACACACGAAGAAGAAAATAAAAACAACAAATGAAACTTCTTACACTTATTTATTTATCAAGTATATTTAGAAGAAAAAAAAGAAGAAAAAAAAAATAGGGGATGTAAGAAATTTCATTTGAAAAAGTGTGTATTTTAATTTTTTTTAGAAAGTATTCTTTTTAACATTTGAACATATTTGACAACAGGTAGAAAATCGGAATCACTTAGAAGACGTTCTTCACCATCTTCTAATGTGTCAAGGCATCGTAGTCACCGTTCTTCGTCTTCTCAACGTTCCAAGTATGTAATATAATTATTATTAAAGTGGTTATTATATTAGTATTATTTATTAAATTTTAATATATGTGATTAATTTATTAAATGAAATAACAAATATGGATATGATAATAGTAATGCATTTGATTTACGAATGATAAATATTGTTATTGTATTTATAAAAAGAATTTCATGATGTTTGAGTTCATTCAAATTGATTTTAAAATATATATTTTTTTACATTCGTTAATTAAATAGTATTACTTAACGCATTGTTGACCGGCATTTTTTTTTTTTTTTTTTTTAAACAATTTATCTCACCTCTAACCTCGGCTTAATTATCTTCGTAATTTGAATTGAAAAGTAAAACAATAAAAAATATAATCATAAATTAAACTTATATTATTTCTTTTTCTTATGATAAATAATGTTATAGACAACAGTTTTGATTAATTTAATATATATTTTCGCTGTGTTTTCATTTTAAATAGCTTGATGCGCAGAAAAAAAAAAAAAAAAAAAGCAAGCGCATCAAGTGATCGGTCAACAAAGTGTTCAAATTATGTCAAGTATTGCAATATTTACTTGTATTAATGTTTTATTAATGATTTTTAATTAAATGTCCCTATATTAAGTGACACAGGGAACATTTCTTAAGTGTTTATGTTCCCCAAACAACACACACTTTTGTATTTCAGAATTGATGTTTAAAAACATAACCCCCCCCAACGTTTCGTTTGATTTAAGACTACTACTTGATTCAAAGACACAACTATTTAATGGCATATTATTAAGATTCTGCCAATATAGTCATATTAATAAAAAAAAAAAAGAGAAAGAGAATATAATAATACTTTTTAAAATTCTTTCTATATAAATTAAAACAAACACTATTGCACAATGTGGGATCTTTTTGACAAAGTTTTTGTAAGGAGAGTCTATAAGACTCAGTTGTTCAAAAAAGGATATTTTGAGAAAGATTGCAATACAAAATATGATTTTATATATATATATATGTAGAAAAAAAAAAAAAAAAACTAATAAGCATATTTATAAAAGAATAACCTTTAACGATACAAAATTAGAGAAACTGATTGATTATATATCAAATTAGCGTCAAATATTTTTTTCTTTACATTCATTTCGTTTCATTTTCTTTTTTTTTTTTTTTTTGTTTTTTTTTTATTATTATGCTTTTTCCATTCTTCATTTTTCATTAATGCTAACTTTTAATTTTTTTTTTTTTTTATGTATATATTTGTATGGCTTAATAAATTAGTTAATATTCGTTAAAAAAAAAAAAAAAAAAAGCACATTTCAATTGTATATTATATTAGGTTGTGAATCATAAATAACTTCCGTTTTTATGAGACTAAGAATAGCGTTTCTGCCACTAATAAGTGCAAAATACTTTTCATGGTGTTTTTTTTTCTTTTTTTGCACTCTTTGTATTTGTTAGACGTATCTAATGTATTTTGCTCCAATATTACCTTTAAAAGGTTCGTCAAATTTGAAAAGACGTCCTGCACTCGGTTCGTCTTTTAAGGCCGGCGATGCATGTAAACGCCTAAATTTTAACCGTTTTTCAGAGGCTTATTTAAAATGGAAGGAATAAATGAATCGTTTTGAAACTCAGCATGTTTATTCATTACATATTAAAATATAGGAATCTGATTTTTTTTTTTCTTCAAAATGGCCGCCGCAGTAACTAATCTCCTAAGTCGCTCGCAGCGAAACGTATCAATCATGGTGATTTTTAGCTTTAGTTACAGTAATCTAAAATTAAAAAAAAAGGGTCGGAGCGTGCTCATAAAACATGTATCTTCTAGTTGAACTAAGGAAAAATTAAAAAGTAAAAAAATCGTAAATTGGCACGACTCAGACTAAAAAGTCTGATTTTTGACCCTTTTTTTTAAACAGTTTTTTGGTAAAAAAATGGTAATTTTGGAAAATTTTTGTGGCATTTTTAAAGTTCAACTAGAAGCTAATACTATAAAGAAAATCTGTGCTAAATTTCATAAGAATCGGTTGAAACCTTTTTGTGTTATCTTTCACCACAGTTTGAAAAAAGTCGTTTCGAGAAAAACGCGTTCAAAGTTTAGCGTTCGCGTCTAGCTCCGAGTTGAGACGGAGCACTTAAATAAATTTTTAATCGATAAATAATGCGAATTTCATTCTAAAAATTTACAGGCATATTTTTAGGATGGTAAACTAACTATTTATGGGAAAAAAAAAATTCGATTTTTTTTTTATTTTACATGTATCGCCGGCCTTAAGAAAAACTGTTAAATGTAACATTGACTACATAAAAAAAATGACAGAAGTCTAACTGAATCCTCATCTATACAGTGATATCAAAAATTCGTTTGTTTCGGTGACTTATAGTAGGTAAATACGAAAAATAGATTCTACATAGACGCATCGGAAGTTACTTATGACTCGACTTAATAATAATAATAATAATAATAGATTTTGAATCCTTATTCCTTTAATTATTGTAATCTGTCTAATGCTATATATATATATATATATTTTGCTTTTATAATATATAATTGCAAATCACATAGTTGTTTTTTCTTCTTCTAACGTTTTGTCTTTATCACATAACCTTACATTTATGGATAAATAATATTGCACATTATAACAAAAAAGAAATATCTAATTGTCATCAGTAGTAGTAGGAGTGAGCAGCAGCACACACACAAAAATAAAAAAAATAGAATAATTATCATTGACTTGTTTATGTACCACCACCACCACCACCACCACCATTGTGTTGAGATGTGAAAAAAAAGATTTAAATTATTTTTTACTGCTTTTTATGTGTGTGTGTGTGTTTTTTTTTGTTCTTTATAGAATAACTATAAAAATTATATTTACAATTTTATCGTTTATAAATAAGTTAGTTGTGTATTATTAATACACATGTGTGATGAAAAAAGAAAATTCCCCCCCCCCCCAACAAAAAAAAGGCATTTTTGAATTTTGTCTTTTTTGTTTCATTAATGCATGAATTGATTTTTTGTTATTGTTGTTATTATTATTTGTTTTGTTCTAGCTTTACTAATGCTTCAGAAGAATTTTGCAGAAGAGCCTGTGGTGATGAATTGGCTTCTATTGTGGATTCTTTATGATTATATTGGATTCTAATCGTTTGATGTAATATTATACTTTATGTTTTTTTTTTTTTTTTCTGTCTCTCTGTATCTCTCTCTCTCTCTCTCTCTCTTTAACTCATACCCCATTCTTCCTAATATTTAATTCTCACGCTTTAGAAAAAAAACATTTCTTTCCCTTTCCACGCACCTTCCACGAGAGTAGTTGAGATAGAAAAGGTTTACAATTTTTTTTACGGTTTAATGATACGCTTAGTCTTTTTCTTTTTATTTTATTTTATTTTATTTTTTTTTTTTCACTTGAAATTATACCCACAAACACAAGCAAATGCTTTTTTAATTCGATTAATTTCGATTTGTTTTGTGCATCGCTTATTTTATTATTTATATA